TTAAGCGCCTACTCCACAACTCAGACTAGGGCCGAATTCGCCAGAATTCTCAATACCAATCTCGTTTCTGCTGCCATTATTATGGACAAATTTGAGCCATTGCTGATCAAGTCCAAGGCACCCAGAGTTTTAAATATCAGTTCGGGTCTCGGAAGCAGCACGGAAGCACTGGTTAACAAGTGGGGGAACAATGAAAAGTTTCTATTTTCCTACAATGCTTCTAAGGCCGCTCTCAATATTTTGTCCATCAATATTCGGAACCTGTGGAACTCCAAGAATTACGGAATCAAGGTGGTTGCGGTTGACCCAGGCTACTGCGCTACCAATCTCAACGGCAACTCGGGACCGAAGGAGGCATCCAAGGGAGCCCAGGCAGCATTTGTGGCGATTACCACTGACAACTTCGAAATTCCATTCATTAGATCTGAGACTAATGAGTTGGTTTTAGAGGCAGCACCTTTCTAGCTGGGAAAACTCCTTGAGCACTAAAGTTTTATAGTGTGGTATCTTATATCTAAGCCTTTGAAACTCATAGGGCCTATAACTCCACTGGATGGGTGAATGCAAGGTATTTGATAATTTTGGGATGAGTGTAGATAATAATGTGCCAACTCATGTAGCAATCGCCTTACCAAGTGATCTATCATGCACTCTTTCAATTCACTTAATTTCCTGGAAAATTGGAAAACTTAAAAATTACAAAAAAGTGCCCAAAATAACTGGTAGAGCTACAATTCAATTTACATGGTATAGTCTGTTTCAAATCTGCAATACACCCAGTCCACTTATTATAATATATCTGACATCGAAATCTCAATATATGGCTCCTACACAGGAGCAAACCAAAATTTTCAATTAGCCCGAAAAGCCGCACAGGGTCATCCACCCGCATATCTTTGCATATGCACGCGCGGCTCAAATGATCAGAACCGCAAATGAAACGGAGTTTGCGGAGCAGGACTTAAACTCTAAAGCCCGGTTTTTTGGTTTGTCCGAGGGTGGGTCGTCTAGTATATAAGACCAGTGCAAG